TGCCTCCCCTCTGCTCCTCTCCTCATTCGTCTGATCTTCCTCTCCTGTCCGCGACGGCTCCCCCTTCTCCACTCTTTCTGCTGCTTCTGCCTCTTCGAGCTGCTCTCACCACCGGCTCCTTCTCCTCGGTTCCAGATGTTCCCGACGAATCGTCCGACTCCGATGCCGCTCCTCTCTTCCTCCACAATCTCTGGGCGTTCACCTCCATCGGCTCATCTCGGCCCGCTTCCCCCGTCTACTCATATACGGGCATTGTCTAGCAATATGCCCCTCAGTTCCGCATTCGAAACATCGGGTTCGCGGGCAATTCGCCACTAGGTGACCTATCTTTCCGCACCCGTGGCATCTCCTGTCCTCCTTTGTCCATTTCCTTCTCTCCTTCCCTGGCTTTTTCTCCCTTATCGCCGTTCTTTCTCTTGCGCTAACTTCTCCTCCTCTTTTCTTCCAGCCTTCCTGTCTCGTTCTAAATCTACCGGGTTCCGCTCTCCTGTACGATACTCGGTTCCACCCGTTCTCATTCTCCTCTTCTCCCCTGGCTGCTTCTTCCTCCCGCGCGCTTGCATCAATCATTTCCTGGGCACACTCTACAAAACCCTTGTCTCTAGGTAGTCCATCCTTCTTTCCCGTGTCTCTACCCAGTTGTACTTTAAGGATGGTTGCCAGGAACGCCATTCTTGCTCCCGTTTCCACTGCATCCGCTACTTCCCTCGTCTTCTCCGTTACATTGTTGAATCGTGCCAACAGGTTTGCTGCATATTGTCCGTTGGACTGATACGGCTGTTTCTTCTCTCGGAACATCTGTAAGATGTCTTCTTCTGGGGCCCAACGGCCCCCTCCAAATGCCTTCTTCAGCCTGTCCTTCACGGTGCTCCATGGGGTGTCTTCATCCGCCTGGATCATGTTCAGCACACTCCTTTTAACCCGGCATACCAAGGCTGCCCTCAATGCGTTGGCATCCAGCGGATCTATCAAGTTTTCCCCTTCTTTGGCCGCTATACGCGATATCACCCGGTCGCCTCCCTTTAGAAAGTGGTTCAACTCACCTGTTCCTCCATCAAATCTCTCCAGGTCAGATATAGCTCTCCTCAGGTCCTGCGATGTCGCCGTTCTAACCTTCAGCCATTCCAGCGTCGTCGCATGTGCTGACGCTAACGTCTCCGTAGGTAGCGGAGGAAAGTCCCTCGCTAACGCTTCTGCCAACGTAGGAAACGCTGCCGGTGCCGCTGGTGCCGCAGTCGGTTGCGCTACCTGTGCTGTAGGCGGTACTGGTGGTGGTGGACGTACTGGCGGTTGACCTACTCCGTTCGGCATCCTGTTTTTTTATTTATCTCCACGACGTGAAAAGAAAAAAAAAATAAAAACGAAAAGACAACTACAAAAGTAAACTCTTTAAGATTCCCGGGTTTCGGCACCACTTACGTCGGTTCGAACTCGGAAAGATAAAAAAAAGAAAGAAAGAAGAGGTTTGAAATGAAACGCGTGGTTGCTCAAATAAGACTGACTTTATTCTCTCCGTAATGCTATATATATAGCATTACGGTTTGTTTACAACTATTGACTAGGATTAACTCTTATATAAACTTACATCTAACCATAACTTATATATATATATATATATATATATATATATTTAATAATGAAAAATTGCTAAGTTGAAAAAAAAAATTCTCTAACCGATAAATGAATAAAATATATCCAATCGAAAACAAAAAAATATAATTATAACAATAAAACACTATAAATGTAAAAGAAAACACGAAAAGAAAAACTTTAAACTTGAACAAATGTATTAACAATAAGTAATATAATAAATTATAACTTCGAAAGCGATAATTAGAAAAACACTGTAAACATAAAGGACACACGAAAATAACTTTAAACTTGAAAAAATATGTACGTATATATATGTATATACACACACACACACACACACACACATATATATATATATATATATATATATATATATATATATATATATATATATATATATACATACATACATATATATAATAGTAAGAAGAAAAAAAAGAACATTAACTTTTGAACAATATACTAAGAAAAAAGAAACTGACGATATAAAGAAAACACAAAAAAGAAAATGTTAACCAAATAGAAAAGTTTTAATAGAAAACTTATAATAAATAAATAGAAAAAACTTACGCCTGGTTTAAAAAAAATACTATGAATAAACGTAAAAAATAAGGAAAACAGTAACTCTGAAGATAAATAGGAAAAAAAAACCACCAATTATATAAAGAAAACTAAAGAAGCAGAGAGCGTACTAGCAGAAGAAATTTAACGATACAATCACGTTAAGTTCGGAGTTATAATGAGAGTAGTGGGAGTAGACACACATGTACCTCTTGTAGAATCCTCGAATCTGATTGACTGATGAATTCCCCCACCACTCTCTTCTGGCCCTACCACTTCCTTCGCAGTGGACTTTGTCCCCCTACATGTCTATGCATCTGCAAACGTCAAGAGACTTGTCGCCTAACGCAGCTGTAGAATAGTCTCCACAGCCTTCTATACCATTGATAAACATATGTTATGAAAACAATATTATATTACATTTTAATATATTAACTTTATGAATTTTTTCGATATTAGAGTCTACTATCAGGTTATTCTAGGTGTAGAATTCAAAAGTGATATCGAACTTTTTCGATTCATTGATTTTCGATTTAATAAAACTTTCTTTGATATTGGAGTCTACTATAAAGTTATCCGAGCTATAAAATATACTCCACAGCCTTCTATATCATTGATAAACATATGTTATGAAAATTTTATTATATTATATTTTAATACATTACGTATATTACCTTTATGAATTTCTTTTATAATAGAGTCTACTAAAAGGGCATCAAGTGCGTAAAATTTGAAAATGATATCGAAATTAAGATCGATTCATTGATTTTCGATTTAATAAAACTTTATTTTATATTGGAGTCTACTATAAGGTTATCCGAGGTGTAAGATACTCCCCACAACCTTCTATATGATTGATAAACATATGTTATGAAAATAATATTATATTACATTTTAATGTACTACGTATATTAACTTTATGAAAAAAATGTAAAAGTTGATAAGAAGAGGGGGGGGGGGGTGTATGGGAGTTGATGTGGTTGTTAACAGTAAGAATTTTGTGATATACGTAAAATTTTTAGAATATGTGAATATATTTCATCGTTATAATATATATTCATTGGCAATAATATATATTTTTGTAGTTACATTTCATCGTTGCCATATATGTATACATTCCTTTGTAATAATATATGTATATATTTCATGGTTACTATAAATGTGTATATTCGTATGCAATAATATATATTTTTGTCGTTGCAATTTATATTTATATTTATTTGAAGTAAACATGGTGATTCAAGTTTTGACTTGTAGGATGTCCCAATATATGCCTATATTTTTTTAGTTACAATTTATATTTATATTTACTTGAGGTTGACAAGATGGGACCAGTTGAGACAGGTTCAGACCTATCAAACTTGGAAATGAAAAAATACAAATTAGGATTAAGGATTAAGATTAATAAATTATATTGGCCACGTGGTGGTTAAGGTAATAATAGCCCCGGGCCCAAAGCCCAAAAGTGCTCTCCAAATTCTGGGAGTAGAACCGCCTTTTATACCCTACTAGTACGTCTTAAAATGATCTAGTTGACAGAAGTATTTTGAACGGCGAAGAATATGTAGTGCATCGTCGATTCTTCGTTTAGGCTGGTTTAAGGAAACCAATCGTTCATTTACTCCACATTTATAATCTACACACAAACGAACTGCACCATCTGGTTTTGGAATAATTACTAAAGGTGATCCCCAATCACATGTTGCTACTGGTGTAATAATTCCTGCTAATTCTAATGATTCAAAATCTTTTTCGAATTTCTCATGCAATGCATATAGAACGTCTCGTTCCCGAGTAAAACTTGGTTTCACATTAGGTCGGAGTTGTAATTTACTTTTGTAGTTAGGTACACATCCTACTTTTTGTGAAAAAAACTGGGTCGTATTCTTCGTAATATCTTAAACCGATTTTATTGAGTAAACTAAGTTTGACTTGGTTAAATTTAGCATTTCTTCATCAATGTCTGTTTATTCTAAATTAAGATTTCCTATCCATATTCTACCTAATAAAGCATCATGACCTTACGGTACAATAAACAATTCTTCATTTATAATTTTATCTTTATAAGATCCGACAACAATAACCTTTCCTAAAAGTTTTGTTATATTGTTGGAGTAGGAACGAAAAATGATATTTGTTTCTTGAACTAGAATATTTAAATTTAATTTTCAAAAATCATTCTCAGAGATCAAAAAGAAACGAGCGCCTGAATCTATTTCGATACGCTGAGGCATTTAATTTTACTGAAACAAAATATTTACTGATATCTGGAGCTAAGTCAAATAAATCAACAGTTTCCAGCGAATGTGAATGGTTTAATTTTATTTTATTAATACTATAACAAAGGTTTTTCATTTTCATTTTGAAAATCAGCGATATGCTTAGTCGCACTGGAATGATATCAAATTTATTATTATTATTTTGTTAAAATGTCGAAATGCATACTTTGTCTATGTCCGCAATTTTCCCGCATGAATTACATTTTAATATATTACGCTGCACACGATAGTTTTAGCAGTATGGATAGAATTTCCACAGTTAAAACATAAGTTTTTTATTTCTAAAGAACGATAGTCAGTTTTTATTTTTACGATATCTGTGAGATGGACTTTGAACATCATTATTTGAACATATTTTGTATAGTATTATAGTGAAAATAATAGGTTTTCGTATGAAGAGTGTTGAAACGCGTTCAATTTTATTTGTAATTTCAAGTGATTGTTGAATTCAACAATAGTTTGTTTCTATGGCCTCTAGATGATATGCATATCGAATTCAGTTTGAGTATAGCATTTGTAAGAGCTTTGCATTTTTTATATATTTTAGACCTATAGAAATTATTAACTATGAATGAGGGTAGTACTCCTACTAACCTCGAAAGTCAAACAATCACTGATGAAGAATCTACGAATTCTGGTAATACTGAATCAGAAATTGATAATTTTTATACAGAGGAAACAGAAATCACTGATGAAGAATATACGAATTCTGGTGATACCGAATCAGAAATTGATAATTTTTATACAGAAGAAAAAGAAATCATTGATGAAGAATATACGAATTCTGGTGATACCGAATCAGAAATTGAGAGTTTTTACACAGAGGAAATAGAAAGTCTTGAAAATTTAAAAATTGGCGAAGAATTGCAGAGTTCATATTCCGAAAATCATTCCGAAGAAAGTAGGCCAAATTCGACATTACCACTGGTCATAAAAGTTTCGGGTATTCTTAATACAGACCCATGGAGTCCTGTATTTACAAAACAAAGAACGGCTATTAAACCAACGAGTTTGTCAGTTTGGCGAGCAGGTTTTATCAGACATATTGGGACTCTAATATCAGTGAAATCTTTTAAAAAGCCTGATGCAGAAAAGCCCAGAGATGATCAAGAAAAGAAGGATTTTAAACCAAGTTTAATCTACATTGGGGCTAAACCGATCAAACCTAAAGTGCCTAAATTTATCACCTCTGTCAAAAACAGAATGTCAATTTTTCGAGGAAAACCTCTCGCCAAATGCCTTGGAAAACTATTCATCAATCTACATGACAAACTCATCATGGCTCGACGCAAACAAGAAGAGATACATCAAAGCTTTTTAGATGAAAGATTAGCCAGATCTATAAAGGAACGTAAACTTATATTAGATCAGGCGAGGAAGGACGCCTTAATCGTGAATACAGAGGGCAAACTATTTGGCAGGGATTTATTGGCGATAGAAGATTTACCTGCTACTCCTTGGACCGCGAGGATTGAAATTCGAATTTTAAATAAACACGTAGTCCAATCACCACTGGAAGCCCAAGCCCTTTTTGATAAGATCCCCGTGGAACTATTTGTGAGGAAAGTTGTAGAAGAACATGGGACTGTTGTGTTTAGTAACACCACCTGCGTCGTTTGCCTAAAGGTATTTATTTGCACATAAAATTATTAACATTTGATTTTTGTATAGTATATAATTTATTTTTCTTAATCTTCCTCTCTTCTACCGCTGGGCAGTGTGAGGGTTTCCTGCTTATAGAGCATAATCCAAGAGTCCCAATCCTGTAACAGCTTGTTGCGCCTGTTCCAGTTCATTCCTCTTCTGCTGAATATCTCCTGGACTGATCGATAATCTGGTTGTGGCGGGCAGCTCGCTGTGCTGTGCACACATGTTAGCCCATTCGGGCACCCTGCACCAGTATCTCCTGGGCTGTTCTTTCCCAAGAGTTTCTGGGCCTTCTTCTTCCCTCAATTCTCGTTTCGTACGTAGTTTTGGCAATTCTTTCCCCCCTGCATTCTTTTAATGTGACCGGACCACCGAATCTGATTCTCTTCAATTATATGTATGACCGGTTTAATTTCAGGATTGTTTCTAATTGTTGTATTTCTGATCCTATCTCTTCTTGTTTTTCCTTCTATCCTCCTAGGTACCTCATTTCCATTGCTTGTATTTGGCTCCATTATCTTGATGTCAGAGTCCAAGACTCACTGGCGTAGTTCAGTAGGGTTATGTATGTTGTCTTATACACTTCTAAGGGATTCTGTTAGGTTCACTCAATAAATACAACAGTAACAATAAAAATATACAATTTTAATTTTTGGAAAAAAAAAATGCAAAAGCAATAAGTAATAAAATTTAACAAAAATACTGCAGAAAAGTAACGCTATACAAAAAAAATATTAGAAATGCTGCTGCAGAAAAATTATCTACAGAATAAAGAAAAAAAAGTTTAAGTTTTATAATCGAAAAATACAAAATTAAAATTATGCTTGCCAATTAACAAAAACTTAAAAACGTTGCAACTCCAGCACAAATAATACAATACAGCCGTGGCCAGACAATTGTTATGCCGCTAGGTTAAAATTGCACATTTTATATGTTAGTGACAAAACTGCAGATTTTTTTAGAACTCTAAACTGTCTTTTTTATATCACATGTTTTAAAAATCTCAATCGATATTTTGTAACGAGCCAATTGATTGCCCAAAGAGGTAGGAAGAATTGGAGCTGGACTAAAAATGCAGCACTGATTATTAAAGGCGTCATGACGTCACAAGAGGAGTGTGGTTACACACTACTTGTTTAACCTTTTTAGAAACTTTTTCTTTCCCGGGAAATCGGACTTGAGTGAATGGAAGCATTTTCCGACCAATTTTTATTCTCTCATTGATTTTCCCTCTATCCAGCCTTTTTCTTAGAGATGAGTCTCTTGTACCTGAAGTCTCTTTTATTCTGTGGGCAAGACCCCCCCCCCTACCGTGAAACTCCCTCCCCTCCTCCCCTCCTCCCCACATCCCTATAAATTGCATATCCTTGTGTTACATGTAACTATTTATTTTAAAAAAAAACCATATTCCCACAAAAAAATGTCAACGAACTTATCCCAAAATGGTGTCCAAACATGACGGACTGACGACTTTGACTATAATTAGTTTTTTGGTCTCTGAGAATCATCATTTGACTTATTTTCTTCATAGTTGGTCTTTTATTAAAGCTGGATAGTCAGAAAATAAGAAAATATGAAAATATATTTAAAAACTATTGGTATCGGCAACAAAAACACCAGTAAAGTCAATTAAAAAAAAAACTGAATTTAAAAATTAATGTATCACACCTCTATGGATGGAGAATCGCCCTGAACGTAGATTTTTCACTCCGACTCCATTTGAAGTGCTTTCAAATACACATAACGAACAAATGGAAGCAGCATCCAACCCCAGAGAACCAGAACCCCCACCAATATTCGTTAGAAATATTAAAAATTTTCAATTGAATAATCTAGTAGGTTCAGGAAAATATTTATGCCAAAGCCGCACCAATGACACTAAATTAATGCCCGACACTCCAGAAACCTATAGAAAAATTATAAAGTATTTATCTGACACCAAGGCTGATTACCACACGTATCAACTGCGTCAAGAGAGGGCGCTCAGGGTCGTTATCAGAAGACTGCACCCATCAACGCCAACAGATGCTATAAAAGAACAGCTCATGGGTATGGGATTCATTGTTCGCCAGATAGTGAACATATTCAAGGAGGATAGAGAACAGCCTGGAATAAAGAATAAAATAACTCTTCCGCTATTCTTCGTTGACCTTGACCGAACACCTGCGGTAGAAAACATCTACAAGGTCACACGCCTTTATTATACAAGCGTTGTTATAGAATAGCCCTACATCAAGCGCAACATCGTTCAATGCCGTAACTGCCAGGCTAATGGCCATAAGAAACGGTATTGTCATCACATTCCTAGATGTGCGAGGTGTGGTGAGCAACACAAAACAGAGGACTGTAAGAAGCCTAGAAATTCACCTACAGTATGCGCTTTATGCCACAAAGGGCACCCAGCCAACTACAAGGGTTGTCAATCATACAAAGGCTTAAAAACACGAATGTACGCAACGCCTAGAGAAGAAGGGACATCCAGGCCACCAATAAAACCCCCTAGAACAGTGAACGGAAGATTATCCTATGCTCAGATTTTCAAAGGAGACACCGTAAACACTCAATCTCAGACCAAGCCACAAGAACCTAAACCTTAAGAATCCACTCATCAACCTCAATACCCATATCCTTCCATCCCTGAACGTAGGTTAAATACCCAGACATTCATTCCTCCTTTTCCAATTCCACTGACCTCACAAGCTTACTGACAGCTTTCCTTTCTGAATTTAGATCTCTCATTACCCCTCTTATTTCGCTACTTACCAATGTTATATCCAACCTCATTCCACTGCCAAGAATTCATAAATGTCCTCAACCAAATCCCTCTCCATCCTCTTTTGGAATGCGAATGGTATTCGAAACCACATCAACGAACTGACAATCTTATTACATGACAAAAACATCGACATAGCACTAATAACTGAAACCCGACCAACCAACAAACGACAAATCAATGTTCCTGGCTACAATATTTATCGAACCGACCATCCTGATGGAACAGTACATGCTGGAACTGCCATAATTATCCATCGATCCGTTTCCCATCATTTGTTTCCCTTACCAACCCATAATTTCCTACAATCCATAGCCGTAATAATCCAAATTCCCCTTTACCCAATAACACTAGTCGCGGCATATTCCCCTTCTAAAATACCCATTTCCGAATCCCAAATAGTTTCCTTCCTGAATTTCTTAGGACACCACTTCCTCCTAGGTGCAGTTCTAAATGCAAAACACCAGCAATGGGGAGCCAGATCCACAAATTCAGGAAGGCGAACATTGCTATCTGCACTTAATTCCCATCGCAGCAACATCTTTTCACCTAATACTCCCACATACTGGCCAACAGATCCCAACCGCATTCACGACCTTCTAGACTTTTTCCTACACAAAGGTCTAGGATCACTACACTGTTCCATTCCTGCTTGATGATCTTTTCTCGGACCATAGTCCTCTAGTCCTAACCATTTCCACATCTCCCATTCCTAAATCATCCCCCCCCCTTCATTTATCAGGGGGCTAGTTAAATGGAACCTTTTCCGTCAAATACTGAAAGATAATATAGACCTCAGAGTTTCCTTAAAAACACCTGAAGACCTCGACGATGCAGTGCATTCCTTCACTACCCTGATCCAGGAAGCAGTTTGGACTGCATCCTCACCTGATCGTTCCAAAAAATACCATAACATAAATCCTTTACCTCAAGACCTACTGGACCTTATCCAGCTATACAGACTACTTAACAGAAAATCCAATCTATCAATAGAAAACAAACTATTAATCTACAAGACCATACTGAAACCTATCTGGACCTACGGACTTGAACTGTGGGGAACTGCTAAACATTCGAATATCAAACGCATCCAATCCTTCCAATCCAAAGTACTTAGAACAATAGTCAATGCCCCATATTATGTCACAAATAAGGCCTTACACCATGACCTTAACATCCCATTTGTCCTCGATATCATCTCATCCAGATTCTCAAACTTTCACCAGAACCTTATCCATCATCCAAATCTTCTAGCTCAATCCCTATCCAGCCCCCTTCATCCCTACAATCCACCTCGAAGGTTAAAACGACAGTGGCCCAGATATCTCTTGTAAATATGCTTCTGGAGTCCTGGCAATGACCAGCTTCTCCACTCATGTCCTGAGCGTCTGTGGCTCTACTGCCCTCTTTCAGTCTTCACTGGCTTCTAATACTAGTGATGCGGCTGGAAAAGTGGCACTGGGATCTCCTTGCTTTGCCTTGCACATGTGGGAGAAAAAACCTGGCTCCGAGATTGCTGAGCGAATATATATTTTATGTAGGTATGATTGTATTTAGAAGTTTTTATTTGTCTTCTTATTTACTTTACCTATCAGTATTATTTATTTACGTTTTATATTTATATTTATTTCTCTATTATTTGTATATATTGTATGAATAAGAACTTTTAGCCTTAATACTTATAGCGCTCCAGCAGTGACTGATTGTATTATTATTCAATAAATAGATTATTAAAAAAAAAAATATTTGGTCTCAAAATAAGGGAAAACGCCAAATTGTACCAAAACTTGGGAAAATACATTAAGCGAACGAGAAAGGATGTCCCAAAATCTCGGAAAAGAAAACAAGAATCAGTATCCATTATATGGCTAAACGAATATATAGTAGACAGATGAACAGAATATTTCATAATGCTGCTAAAAGGTGGTCAAATGCTGGAGCAGTTTGGATGATATTAAGGGGACGATGCAGGTTTATTATGGTGAAGAGCATTTTATCAGCAAGAAAGATTTGTTCGAAGCAATCGACAATAAAAAACTCCATAATTTTAAAATATTGGAAGCAGTTCCGTATAAAATGCAATCCGTCAACCTTAAATTCCTTCAAACAACTCTTATTCACCACCTACTTCTTTATCAAACTTCCGAATCTATGTAATACTGGATTCAGTAATTACAACTCCTCACTAACAATTTATCAACAAGTT